GTCAGGGGTCAGGGGTCAACCTGGCGAGCGGCAGCAGGCAAAACCGGAATGCGGTCCCGGAACCACAGGCTGAACCCGGAGGGCACGAGCGAGCGAGAGCAGCGAAGGGAGAATCCGGTACCAGAAAGCAGGGAGTAGGAGCAAATCCGGGGAGCCGGGGAATCTCGGAGCGAGTCCGAGAGCCGCGATCGGAGGACACCGTGACGAGCTCGGGGTGGTCGTGACGGAGCGGCTGGCGGGTCACGCGAGTGGGGCGGGTCATCTGCCCCAGCGGGTGGTAACGGAAGAGTCCGAGCGGGCAAGAGGGAGGGTGCCACCAACTCTTGACACAGGGCACAGGTGCCATGTTGAATGTTGCATTATGGGATTGGTCGTCTTCCTGGTTCGATGGTCCATACATACTACATACATGTAGTGATGCATGCATGAGCAAACGCACACTGGCACGTGTATCGGTGCTGACACGCTAGCGCTTAAACTAAAACAGGATACTTGTTTTAGATGTTCAGGATCGTTTTGGGGCAACTCGGGATCGCAGTGGTTAGCCCTGTCCTGTGAGGGGCAGTTGAGATTAAATACTTCTCCTCAACATGGTGGCACGTTGTGCTGCCCGTCTCCGCCTTGTGCAAAGACGCGTGTCGGTGTCAGGCTGGACTGACTTGCCACCTGTGTTCTTGCAGAAGAAGCTGTGCATCGCGGTGTGCGTGATCGTCCTCATCCTTGTCATCATCGCCATCTTGGCCGGCACGTTCGCCAGCTGACGGAGGCCCTGCCTGCCTCACGCCTCCTCCTCCTGGTGCCTTCTCCCGGTGAGTGTCTCCTCTTCCCTCTCTCTGGCCGTCTGTCTACCTCTCCAATTCAGGTACAGCGAGCTTTATTGGCACTAAAGACATCGGTCGCCCATTCCTAACCTCCAAGCTGGCTTTCATGTAATAGATCTTGCAGTGGAGTTGTGCGGGTAATTTAGGATATCAGCAGTAACGGTCGTCTTCAGCAGTTCAGTGGATGTGGGTCAGTTGATCATATTTATCCCTCTGTGTTGTTTGGGGAGGGATTCCGTGCTTGAGAAGCATTCAGTTTCCACACGCTGTTTTGGACTCCCTGCAGGCAGTTTGAGTCATTTGATTTTTATTGGCTGGGGTGGGAAAGAATAGGGTACTGTGGGTTGGTGGAATCTGTCGTCTTTTCACACCGAGGCACAGAGAGGCAGGCAGCTTTGATAGGATGTCCCCTCCCGGGCGGGCAGGGTATTGCAGCTGTCTGAGCCATCGCCCACGTGCTTGGTGTTTGTGGCTGCTCAGTGCTGAAACACCAGGCAAAACAGTAGCTGCTCTTGACACAGCTGGGCTGTTACTCTAGTGGAGCACAAACAGGCGTTTTAAAAAAATGTGCAGCAACATCCAACCTTCCATCTGTTTTCTAACGACATCATCCAATTCAGGATCGCAGGGAGCCGGAGTCTATGCCAGCAAGCAGCAGACAAGGCAGGATACACCCCGGGCAGGACACCAGTCCGTTGTAGTGCAGACCGACACACACACTCACACCAGGGCCAGTTTTCCCAGAAGCCAATTCACCACCCAGCGTGTCTCTGGACTGCGGGTGGAAACCCTTGTGAATGGGGGGGGGGGACATGCGAACTCCCCACACACAGCACCTCAGATGCTGTGGATTGGACACCGGGGCCGTAGCGCTGCCTCCCCTGTGCCACTCTGGATGATCACCCTTATCTCGGATCTTCCCCGGCTCCCGTTTTCTGGTGGGATGAACACAAGGAAGCGAAAGCTGCTGAGAAACCGCAAGGCAGTCCTCTTACACAAGGGCTTTCCTGGGATAAGAGAGCTCCACAGTGCGCCCCTGTGGATCTAGACTAGATCACAGGCTCTCGTTTAAGACCTGATTGTGTCCCCCTCTCTCTCTCTCTCTTTCCAGTGCGATCCTGCTTTCTGCGTCTTCATCCCTGTGCAGTCCTCACCTGACTCGGAGGAACAAGTCGGCCCAGCACTGAGCAAATTCCGGACCTGCGGAGGCGTCGTCCGCCCAGACTCCGTCGTCGCCTTGGCCCTCTTGTGGCTTGCCTGAGCCGCGACGATAATACCATGGTCTTCACCCCCCCACGGCTGTTGGCGTGAGGGCGCGTGTGCGTGCGCGGATGGGTGTGCGCTTGTCTGTCTGTGCGAGAGCAAGCCTCCGCGTCGTGTGTGCGGCCCCTTCCCAGCAGGCCCCGGCTCGGCAGACTGTGTTCCGTGTGCGTCTGGGGTCGGCGATCGCGCCGGTGACCCACGCCCCTCCAGTCGCGCGGGAATTTGAAAACATATGACCTACTTCGGATTGGAACAGCAAAAGTGTCTGTTACGCGTTTGAAATTATTGCGATTTATTTTACTTTGTGTGCAGCTATTTATAGTGAACACATTTTTGTGAGGCGGTTTTAAAATATTTCCACACATTTTTCTTAACGGTTTAATTATCAGATGTTACTGTAGTTGTCCCAGGATTAACCCTTACATTAACTGAGTTCTGGCATGATGGGATGGGTGTGGCAAGGTGGCGCAGTGGTTGACGTTGCTGCCTGGCAGCGCTGGGGCCCTGGGTTCAATTCCTGGGGTGCTGTCTGTGTGGAGTCTGCATGCTCTCCCCATGCTCCCATGGGCTTCGGGTGCTCTGGTTTCTTCCTTGCACCTGTTGCTTGCTGGGATAGACTGGCTCCCTCATGACCCTGTACTGGATGAAGCTGTCAGAACATGGCTGGATGGATACTGTAATTGGACTTCGGGGAATATTAGCATTTCAGTCATTTTAGTCTTATTTAAATACCTCTGTGTATCATTTATGTTCTGCCAGTGATGTTTAAATTTGTTGCCTTATTTGCTCTGCAGAAACGGGATATTTGAATCTTGTTCAGTTTCTCAAATTCTCAAAAAGAATACAAATTCTTCAGTATTCCCTCAAGGAGAAGAGGCTCCCGTTTCCAGGCATGAGGTGTGTGTGTGTGTGTGTCTGCTGTTCCGCTGTTCTGTGTGCGTGTCGTACGTGCGCCCCGGCCGTGCGTGCGCTCTGAAGCCGAAGGGTTTGAAATGGGCGTCGTGTTGAGCTCCTCGGCGGTCTGTTAAGTCGTTTCGCACCGCCTGTGCCGACCTGACGCGGGATGTGCCTCCTCGCAGGTCCCGAGCCGGCGCTCGAGCTCAGGACAGGGACGCGCTGGCGTCCGAGCACTGCCAGATCAAAATGAGCACCCACCCCCCCCCCCCCTTTACGACATAGGTGGCCGGGTTCTAAAGGTATTAGCGTCTGTGTCCTGCCCTACGTGGCATGCAGCATCCTCCTGCTGTGTTGGAGGCCTGGAGTGGAGAGCGGGCTCGGCTCTGAGCGTGTGGTTTGTGCCTCGTCCTTGAGGTGAATTCTGTTTGCCGACACTTTCATTGTACACTAAAATATAACCTGCTTATACTGACATTCAAGGTGTTTTTATAAAATAAAATGTTATTAATATTGCGTACTGCGTACTGGTTTACTTCACTTCTCCTTCTAGATATGCTTGATTCTTGGGAACAGATCTTAAAAACGAAATTACAGCTTACCCCAGTAGGCGCACATATACAATACAGCTGATACACACAACGACACTGGAACTACTCTACACACCGCTGCGATGAGGTACAGTGTGACGGTGGGGTGATACACACACAGACATACACACACACAGACACACAGCTGCGGTGCGGTACAGTGTGACGGTGGGGTGATACACACACACACACACACAGCCGCGGTGCGGTACAGTGTGATGGTGGGGTGATACACACACACAGCCGCGGTGCGGTACAGTGTGATGGTGGGGTGACACACACACACACACACACACACACACACACACGGTGGGGTTGCTGCAGTGCGGTACAGTGTGATAGTTGACACAGTCTTGTGCAGATTCAGCCTTTATTGAGCTCAGCACAGCACAGGGTCTGCCGCACACAACAGAGAGCTGCCGGAGTTATCTAACCCCTTCGCACAGCACACATTAGTACAAGAGGGCTTGGTTCCTTCCAGACTCTGGCGGTCTGGGACAGCGACCTCGGGAGACTGTGCAGCGGTCCAGCGAAGACCGCCCTGCTGGCTCTGGGTGGGTGGCACAGCTAGGGAGGGCACGAGCTCCAGTGTCTTTCTGCTTTCATGTCTTCTGTGTCACCCTGACAAGCAAGGCGCCCAGGGGAAGGACTCAAACCTCCGGCTCAGAAAGAGCAACACCCCCTGTATGTAGCAGCGTCCACTGTATTCATTATATCATACGGAATATGAGTACGAGTAATCATGACTAAAGATTAAGGAGAATGAATAGATACACACTGTATAGTGTGAAAACAAATCATGGCACATGAATATATGTGAATTAAAAGAAATATAGCTGATCTCAACTACGTGAAAGTTAATGGTTATCAAGCAAGATATGGTGCTTTTACCGGGTTTATATGCAGTATGTGGTGCATACATAAAAATGCTTATGACATCTTTCACTACATGATCTCACTAGATTTCACTACATTGCAAGGCAGGGCATAAAATAAATGTTGAACATTTATCCAGAAATGTTAAATTCATGATATGAAGTATAATGTTGGTGGTTGAGTCCTTTTTACTGTACTGGCCCGACAATGAATGAATGTTTTCCTAGGCTTCGATTGGGTTTTTGCGGGGTTTACTGGTGTCTCTAACCTGTGCCTGTGTGCGTCCTGCAGTGGACTAGTATCCCACGCAGGGTGTGTTCCTGCCTTGAGCCCCAGTCTAATGGGATGGGCTCCTGTTTGCTATGATCCTTACCAGGAAAACGTGGGATCCCGCTTAAGGATTCTTCATCATAGACCACACAGACCTTCAAAGGGATCCAGTCAATTAAACTTATGTTCTAGTGTTCTGCTATTTTGGATTTCTTCTGTAAAGCTTTGCTGGAGTATGTTTGCATTGCGGAGCGCAGTTAATTGAGAACAGTTGTGCCATGCAGTGGAATTCACCCCTTGCCTATCTGAAAAGAATTCTCAGCAGCGCATATCCTACAGCACCCACAGCACTGACAGAAACAGCCAACTGAGAACCTTCAACCACCTGTAATAAAGAAGACAGAAAAGGATATTATTCGTGTCATATCATCAAACACAAGCTGAGTACTGAGGCGGCCTGTAATTTGCAAAGCCGGAAAGGAGGAGGGCACCAGATTTTCAGGAAGGCCTGAGAAGTCAGAGGGGCAGAAGACAAACATGCCGTAAAATGAGCCTCGAGCATAAAAAACAC